ACTGCCTAACAAAGTGGAACATTACATACTAAAAGAAACAAAAAGTAACACTGAAAAATGAAAAAAAAAAAAAGGACATGATCTTTTCCTTTTCTTCAACTATTGTTATTTAGTATTGTTTTTTGTTGATATCTAAATTTGGGCTGAACTGCCTTTCAGAGGACTTCAAAATTCTCACTGATTAATCCTTGAAATGATACAGAACACTCATAGTCAACTAGCTCACCATAATACCTCAAAGTAAAGTGCCTTGTCAGTCAAAGTCAGCTTCCCTGGCCATGCCATGTTCTTTTCCCATTTTATTACAGGCTGCTTTCGGCTAGAACCAAGACATAGGATTTTCTCCTCGGAATGATTCGACGAGAACTCCTGAGATTGGTAAGAACTCCGACCTTCATGCACTCTATAAATGAGGATCAAACAAAAAGGTGAGACAGTGAGGATCAAGCAGCAGTTCAGTATTCAATACTGATATTTATTTTACATTCAAGAACAACCGGGATTGGTTCATGTGATAGTAGAGAGTACAATTAAGAATAGAATATAGTGGATTTAAGAAATAATGCAAGAAAATATCCTTCTTCCCAACCCACCCACCTAACACGCCAAACCCAAAAAAGAAACGCTGAAGCAGAACCAAATGAAGGTATGGCTCACTTGATAAGTTCATTAATATATGTCGACCATACAGAAAACGAGATGCCATTCTCATCACCAGCAAGAGCTTTAAAAAGATTATGAACAGTGGGAATATCAGCCACCCCAGCCACAGCTGGCGCAATGCGAATGAATGCCTCTTCCCCCACAAGCTTCCTCTTCAAGTTCATAAACAGACGACAAGAAAAAGAATAATGAACCAAAATTATGTAACAAAAGTGTAAATTACTGTACAAACAAACTACAAAGCATAAGAAAAAGTCAGGGTTAGTAAAAAATTACATGGAATGTATTTTTATCAAGCAACTTAATCCTACTATCCTTTCCTTTTCTGTGCGGATTCTGCCACGCAAGCATGGTGATGAAAGCTAGTCTCTGAAATGCAGGTTCCTGATATCAGGTAAAGACAAAAAATTATGAGTAACATTAAAAGCCATGCTAAATTGTGGCCAAAAAAAGGAATTGTTCGCGACCTTTGCGCCTCTTAACATCATTTATTAATTGGACAACATCAGTTCTTAAGATGGAAATAAATTAGTTTCTGATGACAACGAACGAGACTAAATACATCCCTCATAATCAAAACCAGGGAAGGAGATTCAGCAAATTATAAGTAGTCCAATATTAAAAAAACATGTTTGTTTTGGAAAAATAGTACCATACATAGATACACCCAAAGAATATTTTAAACCCACGAAACAAATAAAAGATACACAAGAATGTGGACCTAAAGAATCAGTTTGATGATAAATTACCATATGTCGGAATTCAGAAGTTACATAAAAGAAGTATACACCAAATAAATTTAAGAAACAGAATCCATAAATTGAAGGAGAGAGTACACCAAAATGCTGGGAAGTCTACACACCTTGAGGCTCGGATGAACATCAGTACTGTTCCTTGACAAAAACCTGAAGCAGCAATATTCCACCAAATTACGCGGATCATTATATACAGATTCAGGGACAAGAGCCTTAAATATTTTCTGCATTTTCTGCCCAGTCAGCCCATTCATCCTGCATATCTTAGATGTAGAAAAAGTTAAAAAAATAAAATAATGGATAGACTTCACCAACCATTAAAAAAATAGTAGTTTGTTTGCACAAGTCTCTACACAAGCTAAAGATCAAAGCTTTTACAAATAGTATCTGCTTCTAAGCATGTAAGTTACAGATGAACATTCTCATGAGGAGAATCCT